GCTGGGGCTGCACTCAGAGGCAGGGCCGGCGCCCCTTCCGGCCCCTGGGGTCCCCACCAGCAATGCCGACCTGCTCAGCTGCCTCCTGGGAGCCCCGGAGTCTGCTCCCGAGGGTGCCCCAGGCGACCTCCTCGGTGGGGAGACCCCCCTGCTCTTCACCAGCCCCCCCACCACCACGGGCGGGCCCCCCGCAGCCGGTATGTGAGCTGAGGGGGTTCCAGTGGTTTGGCCTCCAGGCCTGGGAGGAGCTGAGGATGGGCGGGCGGGGCCGCAGCCAAGCGGGGAAGCAGGAGGCAGCCGCACTGCGGGGTTCCCCTCGCCCCCACCTTGAGCTCACGTCCTCTCGGCTGCTTGTCTGAGGCGAGGGCGTCGGGGCTGAGAATGTGCCCAGCTCTCGGTCCCTCCGTGTCCTCCTGGGCCCGCGGGGTGGGCTCATCGTCCAGGCTGCGCAGCCGGGGGCCCGGCGCTCTGGGCTGGGTGCTCCTGTGGTGCCCACACACGCCTCACTTGGCCCGCTCCTGGTGTCTCTGCAGCCGACCCGTTCGACCCTCTCCTGCTGACATCCGATCTAGATGCCCAGCCCTGCTCCAAGCCCAATCTCTTGGGGGAATTTCTTAATTCAGACTCTCTGGCCGCTCAGCCTGCGTCCTTCCCCTCCACCCATAGCGCCCCGCCCCCGGCCTGCGGCACCGACTTCCTGCAGCTGGGTGAGTAGCTGCGGGGCTGCAGGGCCTCCCTCCCCGGAGGATGAGGTGGTCGCTGGTGTCCACCCTCGTGCTCTGCTAGGTTCCGGGGAGGGTGGGCAAAGGTCCTGGGGGCGCCCTGTGCACCGTGAGTGAAGTGTGTGAGCCTCTGCAGGAGGCGGACATGGCGCGTTGTCCTGGGAGCTTTTCCTCCCGCTCACCCGTCTCCTTGGTCCCTTCAGTGGCATGAGACATCCACAGCCTGTGAGGTGGGAGGCTGGTCAGTGCTGGCTGAGCCAGCAGGGCCCACTGGGACTTGGCCAGGTGCACCGGCCGGCCGTCCGGCCTCTGTCCCTCCTGCTGCCACGTGGCAGGTGTCTGTGTGGGTGTGTGTGGGGACGGTGGGTAGGAGCCACTTGAAGGCCACGGTCCACCCCCACTGGGGCCCCACACATGGTGCTGCTCTCTCCCAGGGGACGTGCCAGCCGAGCCCAGCAGGATGTCCACCTCGGCCAGCCACCCGGACCTGCTGGGAGGATGGGACTCCTGGGCCGAGGCCCCGGCCCCCGCTCCAGCCACAGACGGTACGGCCCTGCCCTCCTCCATGTCGCCAAGACACAACCATGCCCTCCCAGGAACAGGGGTCCTGGTGGCACGGGCCACACCCTGGTCAGCAGGTCCAGGGCTGTCCCAGGGCGCCCTGCCCTCCTCCCTGCCCGCTCCTGCAGTTGTGCACAGGCGCCAGGCGCCCTCCACGTGCTCCCTTCCTCGTCTCCTGTGGGCGCGGGGTGTGTAGGACACGGCCCACGGCGACCCTCTCACCGCAGCGTCTGAGTGGTGGCTGTGTCCCGCGGTTGCTGTGCCTCTGGGGAGCCTGCCCAGGACATGGAGGGGGTCCCACGTTCACTGGCTGGACATCTGTCCTTTCCTCCGTCTGTGATTCTGTCCTGTTGGGAAACTGGCTTGTGCAGGGCTGTCGGAGGTGACCCTGTGACAAGGCCTGTGGCAGCGTCCCCCCAGGACCTCCTGGTGACTCGCTTGCCCAGGAGCCCCCAGCCTCCAGTCTCACCAAAGCTGGACGATGACTAAAGGCCACTTTGGTAGACCGCCCGCTATTCCCATTGCATCGCAATCTGCACGCGAGGTTCACTGTTACTTCATGTCCTTGTTTTTGTGGGCTTTGAGAACTGTTTTACGTTCCTTTTTGCATAGGAAATTCTCCTGCCCATGAACTTCTAAGAGCCCCTTCCTGTGGGAGTAGCCAGCATTTGTAATGATTATGTTCCTCCAAGTGGCTGTACAGCAGTTTACTCAGATACTTCGGTTTCTGATACTTAGAATAGTCTCAAACTGACACTGTTATAAAGAATATTATACATCAGAGTGAGAAGGGAGCCACTGAGTGGGAGACTGTATTTGACTGTGATGCATCTGATAAGGGTTAACTTACATATATAAAGAACTCACACAACTCAGCACCAGGAAGACAGTCCAATTAAAAATGGGCAAAGGACCTAATGGACACCTCTCCCAAGAGGACAGACAGACGGCCAAGAGACATGAAAAAGTGCTCAGTGTCACTGATCGCCCGCGATGCAGATTAAAGCGACAATAAAGTATCCTCACACCTGTCAGACGGCCACCACAGCCCATGACCAGTGCTGGGAGGATGCGGAGAAAGGGAGCCCTCGGGCTCTGCTGGTGGGATGTGGAGTTTCCTCAAAAAATTAAAAATGGAGCTCCCATTTGACCCGGTGGTCCCACTTCTAGGAATACATCCCAAGAAACCAGAAACACCAATGTCCCCAGCAGCACAGCTTACAATAGCTACGATCTGGAAACAGCCCGAGTGCCCATCAGCAGATCTATAATAATAAAAGCATAATATGCTAATTAGACCAGACAACCTTCCGGACGAAGCGGGTGCTGAGAGGGAAGCCTGGGTCCCAGGAGCCAGAGGGAAGCCGGTGCCAGCAGCTGGGGGAAGGAAGGCCTACTCCTGCACGAGTTTTGTGCATCGGGCCTCTAGTGAATAGGCTAAAGCTGTGGAACATCTACACCAGGGAACACTGTGCAGCAGTAAAAAAGAAGGACCTCTTACTCTGCGACAGCACAGAGGGACCAGGAGAGTTTGTGCTAAATGAAATAAGTCAGTCGGAGAAAGACAAGTATCACATGATCTCACTCCTCTGGAATCTAATGAACACAAACAGAATAGAACCAGGGGCCTGGAACCATGGAACAGACTGACGGGGAGGGGGAGGGGCTGGGTGACAGAAGATGCAGGGATTAGCCAAAGAACATACGTGCAGAGCTCATAGACACAGCAGCGTGGTGATGGCCAGGGGGAGGGGGGCAGCCGTCGTAGAATCAACAGTAAGAGCTAAAATATCTATCACAAAGCACATTCAGATGGGGGGTGGGGGGCGTCCAGGAAGCAGCAGCACCAAGTCAGGAGGACACAGGCGTTTAGATCTTTGTGCATCGGGGGGTCTTCTGTGGGGGCAGTGGAAGCAGCCCTGCTCTTGCGTGTCCGCGTCTGGCGCCCAAGCCTCAGAGGCCGCTGGGAGCCTCGGCAGAGAGCTGGGCTGCATCTCCCTGCAATGGCGCTTGCTTTACCGTCCTCTGTCCTTCTCCAGGCCCCTTCTTCTCTCCTGGTGGCCAGCCAGCCCCTCCCGGCCCCCCGGCCAGCCGGGCCAAGTCTCAGAGCCTGGACCTGTTTGCAGACCTCGGGGACCTCAGCTCCAGCCTCCAAGGTGAGGTGCAGGGCGTGTCGGGTGTGCAGTGCTCGGTCCGCCGCCCACTCCCTCTGCCAGGCTCAGTGCCCAGATGGGCCTGCCCCTCCGTCCCCAAGGCCCAGGGCACAGTGACCCTCGGAGCAGCCGCCTGCCCTGTGGCCGGGGCTTGGGGACCAAGCTGCCGCACAGGTGCTGGGTCTCCATGTCGGGGCCCCAGTGTCATGCCTGCCTGTGGCTCGAACCTCCCAGAGCTGACTCGACGCCCTGGGACCCGGGTCCCTGGCCCCTTGGTGCCTCTAGACACGTGTGGGTATCTGAGTCTCCTCCCTCAGCAGGTGGGTGGGTGGGACTCCAGGTTGGAAGTGATGTCTCCTGGGGCCTCCTCGGTGCCCCCGAGCCTTCGTGGGAAGCCGGGTCCCTCAGCACGAGGCTCCCTGCTGTCTTGCCCCCCGGCTCCCGCTCCTGCTGCGGCGTCTGCAGGGCGACATCTACCCCACGTCATGTGGGCCCTTCTGCTACTTTTTTTTTTCGGTAAAGGTTATAGAATTTCTGTAAAAAAAAGATGCTGTTAGTGATTTTTAGAGGGAGCGAGAGAGAGAAACGTCAATGATGGGAGGGAATCATCCATGGGCTGCCTCCTGCACACCCCCCACTGCGAATCGAGCCCACCACCTCTTGGTTCCTGGGTCGACACTCGACCACTGAGCCACGCTGGCCCACTGCTGCCGTCTTGTTGATCCTGGAGGTTTTCGTTCTGTGGGCAGTTGGTTCTTTAAAGCTTCCTGGAGTTGAGGTTGCAGTGTCTCTGGGCGCCCAGCTCTGTGTGGCCCTGGCTCAGGACAGCGATGTGGAGGGGACTCCTGGGCGCCACCCGGGCTGTTGGCTGCAGACCCTGTGAGGAGGATTTACTGATCTGAGTCGTCCGCGCTCAGGATGGAGCCCGCCCTCGGCTCTGCACTGCGCCCGACGCCCTGTCGTGCCCCCGCAAGACGAGTTTGAATAAAGCTGGCGGCACTGAGAGGAGAAATAAACAGGCTCAGCCTCCGCTGGAGACCACACCCTCCTCCAGACCTGGGGACACTGCTCGCTGCCAGCAGGTGGGGGCCGGGCACCGCTGCACGAGCCACGGACGTCCTCCTGCCCCTGCAGCCGGCACCGTGGGGCCGTGTGACAGGAGGGTCACGGCCCATCATCCTGCTCTGACCACAGGGCCAGCGGGACACCAGGCACAGCTGTGAGAGCCTGACAGAACAGCTGCTCTCGGGATGTGGGGGGCGGGGGTGCTGCACCAGACGAGGGTGGAGGTGGGAGCCTCCGGACCTGGGTGCACATGCAGTGCCGCTGGGAGGAGATGAGGGCTCGTCACCACGGAGCCTCAGCTCAGCTCAGAGCCAATGGGAGGAAGGGGAGGACAGGGCCAGGCCCATGACGTTGAAGGCAGGAGCCACCGGAGAGAAAGGACAAGCTGTGGAGGCGAAGAGGCAGGCGCTACAGGCGGGAGGAGGCCACCAGGCCCACGGCACGGCTCCCGCCGGGCCCACGGCACGGCACGGTACGGGTGAAACAGCCTTGACACCAGCTGTGCCAGGTGGCGGGTGTAAGCAAGGGTGCCCGTTCCTGCCCCCGGCACCTCATCAGCGTGAGAGCCGCCCGCTGTCCACGGAACATAAGGAAATGGGCGCGTCTGTCGGAGGAGACGCCCAGCAGAGGCCTGTGGAGCCAGCCAGCCCGCAGCCCCTGGAGAGGTGCCAGGAGACCTCGCTCACTTGCAGCTGCTGGGAAGTGAGGGCCAGTTTCTATAAAAGAAGACACATTCGGCATTCACCAGAGAGATGGCGGCGCAGGCGTGTACAGGCCTGTACACGTGTTCATGCCTGTATACATGTGTTCACAGCAGCTTGGTTTGTAATCTCTCCGCACCGGGCTGGTGGTCGAGCGAGCCTTGGTGCGTCCCTGGAAAATGACGCTCAGCGGTAGAAGGAGGCATCCTGAGTGAGCTCCCTGCAGAGGCGACCTGCTTCCTGAGTCCCTTTCTAGAGCACTTAACGTCTGTAGACAGATGGATAGACACGGACGGACGGATAGCTAGATAGATCGATAGACGGGTAGACACAGACGGACGGATAGCTAGATAGATCGATAGACGGGTAGACACAGATGGACGGATAGCTAGATAGATCGATAGATGGGTAGACACAGACGGACGGATAGCTAGAGAGATCGATAGATTGATAGACGGGTAGACACGGACGGATAGCTAGATAGATCGATAGATCGGTAGATGGGTAGACACGGACGGATAGCTAGATAGACAGATCAATAGATCGGTAGACGGGTAGATTGATAGATGAATAGATAGATCGATAGACGGATAGACACAGACAGATAGCTAGATAGATAGATGGATAGATCGATAGACGGATAGACACAGACGGAGAGATGATAGACCATAGGTCGGTAGATTTCAGAGGGGAGAGGAACGTCAGTGAGGAGAGAATCTGATTGGCTGCCTCCTGCACACCCCACACTGGGGATCAAGCCTGCAACCCGGGCCTGTGCCCTGACTGGGAATCGAACCCCGACCTCCTGAATCATAGGTTGATGATCAACTACTTGAGCCATGCAGGCTGGGCAAGATTTATGTTTTAAAAAGAATGTGCTTCATCTATATATTTGAT